ATTTCCTTGAGCAGAACATTCATTCACCTAGAGTGTGCCCTCTGAGGAAGGACCACTGGGTCCTCTGATGTGACAAGCAGCACGGTTTGTCGTTGCCCACGCCCCGCCAAATGGCACGTCAGCATCTGCCAGGCATGAACTCCAACCCTCACAGGGAGCCCTGGTGTGCAGAGCAGGAAACAGGCTCAGAAGGCTGAGAGATCTGCCCAAAGCAGCTGAGAGCAAGAGCCAGGGCCACACTCTGTGCCCGGACACAAGTCCAGCGGGTCAGGATGGGAGAAAGGGGAGGTGTCCTGCTCAGTCACACACCCACAGGGGCAGGAAGTATGAGCTGATGTTAGGAGCACAGCGCAGAGTGGGCAGACTCCAGTGTCTCTGGAGGGCGGAGACCCTGCGAAGGGTTCCGTGGGACGATCCACAGCTGTTCCCCATGCTCTGCACTCTGCGTGCTACATGGCAAACACCCCACGTCCCTTGCCACCTGGCCTTAATCTACCTCTAAGGCCTGCGGTAAAGACAGGGCTTTCTTGAGGATGCAGTGATTACGCTCCAGTCCATCTGGGTCAGCAACAGTCTCCCGTTCCAACCTGCCTCTGGGGTCTGTCTTCAGGGCCCGGCTGCTGGAAAGGAAATCAGTCTGTGAGGCCCTCTCCCCACAGTCCAGACCAGGCTATTGGCCATGAGCAGCGCTGCTGAACTGAGAAGCCACTGGCGCCCCTGGCCTGGCTTCCTCAAGGACCTGGATTCTACTAAAGGCCGCAGACTTTCAGGTCCTGCCATGGGTCCACAATGCTCTTCCCTGTGCTTAAAGCAGGGCACAAAACATGTAGGCTGTCTTCCAGCAGGGGCTCCTTCCCCGCCGTGTTCCTAGCACCTCCCATTCGCCCTTGTCCTGGACTCCGAGAAGCCTGTTTCTCTCCATCTAGCTGGCCGTGCCCTCCTGCGGGCCCAGACCTGCATATTTGTGATCTCCTCCTGCCTCATGGCCATCGCCAGCACTGAAGAATCCTGGCAGTGTGTCCTGAGCATCACGGAACTGGGACCAGGGGATGTCAGAGCTTGGACCAGTGGTGACTCACATGACAAAGGTCTCATGAGAGCCCGAACCAGGCCTGGAAGCTGGACTCTCTGGTTCCTCCTGGGGGACATCAGGCTCCTTGGGGAGGTGATTCTTAAAATCATGCCTGGCAGCTCGCTCCTTCACATCAGGGAATGGCAACGTTTCTGCTGTTGCTCACACTCCATGCCCACCAGGGAGCTCTCTGTCCAGCTGTCTCCAGGCGCCAGCTGGGGCCAGGCTTGCAAACTCTTAGACCATGACCGTTCTTGCAAGTGTTCACAGGACAGAAGAGCCAGCTTCCCGAGGCCACGATGGAGACCCTTGTGCCCAGCGTGCTGTGTCGTCTGCGCCATAGAGAAACCACAAAACGGTTTATCATCCCGCCCACCCGGGAAACCCAGACATCCAAAGCAAACGCGTTAAAAGTAGGCCCATGCACCATGTGGTTAAATATTTGAACATCATGAAAAAAGCTAATAAACTGTGAAATAAGGTTTATTTTTCTCTCCTGCCTGGACAAATACACCTTTATAACCACCTCAAGGCCAGGCTCTGAGCACGCACCCTAGGACTCCAGGAACTCAGTGGGGCATGAAAAGCTGGGCTCAGTTCCTGCCCATGGCCCCCTCTTTTCCTCTCCCAAGGTGAGGGGCTCCCCGGTCTGACAGCCCAGGCTCCTCCCAAGCTCACAGAGCAGGAAGAGGCTGCTCAGGCCTGAGCATAGGCCAGAGCAGCAAATTCTGGGTCCCCTGGCCCACAGCCACCAGACCTGGAGGAGGCGGGAGCAAGGCTCTCTCCACCCCCATCCAGGCCAGGGGTGCCAGGGCTTTTCCAGCTCAGGCCACTGAGATGATTTCCATTGCATCCACGAAGCCACTGCAGCTACTGAAGTGACTGCTGTTGGCACAATGGTCCCCAGCTAGGCAGGACTCCACCCGATGCCTGACTCTGGCACCCGCTGGATCCCCTCCACCACCTGCTGTCCCCGTCCTCCTCCTCCTTGGGGAAAGGCAGCAAACCTCTCTTCCATGAGCCACCCTCTGGGGCCCGCATACCCAGCTCCTCTCACCTCCAGAGCAAGAGAAACCATCTCTTCCTGGGCCTCCTGTCCAGTCCTGTCCTCCAGCTTCCTGGACAGGAGGGCAGTGACATCTTCCCAGTTCCACAACCGCAGGATCACACCTAGTGCCTCACTGCTGCCCTGCACCCTCGGCGTCTGACTTCAGCCTCCCAGGGCAATGGCACTGCACTTACAAATGCAGCTTCCTCTGCTGTCTCAGCCTGCAGGCTCCCCGCCAAAGTCTACTCCTCCTCACCTGGGCTGGGGGGGAGGTGGTGACACCCAGGACCAAGGTGGATGCCCAGCTAGTTAGCCTCCTGCTGGGAAACTCTCTAATTCCCAAGCCTCGAGGGGCAGGGGGCAGCACAGAGCAACGGGTGCCTAAAGGGGCCTCATGGGTCCCCTGCAGGCCTGGGAGCCACCCTTGGGCGAACTCACCTCTCCTGAGAGAAAAGGGCAGCAGAGCCCGCGCTGTTACATCCACCTGGCAACAACTTCCTGGCTCCTCTGGAAACCCATGCTTCTGCTCGCAGTGGGAAGGGCCTTTCTGGAGGCAGATGGCAGAGCTGATGGACTCTGACCTGGACTTTGGGTCCTAATTATTCTCTGGAGCAGGGCAGGTGTCAACCCCCAAGGCTCCTCTGGATCATAAAGCCAAACAGAAATGTCCCGCTCTCCCTCTATCCAGTGAGCACAGCAAGTAGCCAACACAGAGAGAGGTGAATGGCATGGAGTTGCTCTGGTTCCTTGGGAAAGGAAAAGCCTCATGGGGGTCAGCCAGGCCCTCCTCTGTCTCTGACATCACCTCCCACAGCCTTCCCCAGCCCAACTGCACATTTGCTGCCTCAGGGCCTTTGAACTGACTGCTCTCTCCTGGAATACCCTTGCCCCTGCCCAGATACTTTAAGTTCTGCTCCCTCATCTGAAATCTCTGCTCTAAAACTACCTTACTGGGCCGGGGATTTAGCTCAGTGGTTTGGTGGCCTGCCTTGCAAGCGCAAAGACCCGAGTTCACTCTCCGGTACCAAAAACAACAACAACAACAACAACAACAACAAAACCACGTTACTAATGAGGTCAGCCCTGCTGCCACCCCCACCCCCTACACACATATTATGGATTTCAGATTACTAATGATCAGCCCTGCTGCCACCCCCACCCCCTACACACATATTATGGATTTCAGTCCACACCTCCAATTTTGTTTTCTGTAACGAATGATATTGCAAATTTACCAGTTCCTCCCTTCCTCTGCTGGAATATTAGCACCCCTGGGCAAGGTCCTTTATCTAAGTTGTTCCCGAAAAGCAGAGAACACTGCTATTTAGTAGGTGCTAGTTGGTATTTATTGTGTGGACAGATAAATGAATTTAGGGAAACTGAAAGGCGGGTTTTAAATGTTAACGCCTTATAGTAAAGGGCAGAGTTTCTCCTGTTTGTTTTAGTGTGGCTGCAAACGAGACCAGGGCAAGATGCCCTGATCAGGATGACAGGGGGCGGGAAAGCCCTGTGCCCTGCCCAGGGAGGTGGGTTCCATCCTCCTGTCTTTTCATGGAGGGCCCCTTCACCTCTTCCAACACCCCAGAAACAGGCTGCCCAGCATCACTGAGCCGTCTTCTCGGCCGGCTGCTGTTCCCTGGTCTCAGCTCACAGCTCCCTACCCAACACTCCAGGAGATCCTCGCAGCAAGGGAGGTGAGGGGGCGGAGCGAACTCACTGTGCTGTGATTCGCGCTCACGGCTGTCGCCTTCATAAACCCCAGCCCCACCTGCCCGGAGCCGAGTTGAAGGTCATCCCTCAAGTGTCCTCTAGCACAACAGGTGAAGGCGACACCGTCATGGGAGGGTCAGAGGATGCCCGAGCGGGAGATGCACAGGGAGACTGGCAGGTTAACTTGGGGGCCCCTTCCAGCCTTGCTGCAGCCCGCATGGCTCACACAGACTGGAGGGAAGGGGCCGCGCCAGCGCCCGCGGCGCGTGTCCTAGGTGCTGCACTCTGGGTTCTCCCAGCAAGCGGGGCTGCTCCTTTGCCCTGCGAGTCGCTGCCAGGCCTCGGGCGCTGCGGGTGCAGTGCAGGCTGGGCTTGGGGCTCCTGCGCTGACCATGGCAACGCCACATTGCTCCGCTGTTCCCTTCCGGGAAGGTGGGATTCAGGCTTCATGAAAAATGGACGATGGGTTTGGTTTCGTCTTGGGTCGGAGAGGGCGTGCGGCCGGCGAAGGCGGGGGGCTCTAGGACCCGCGCGCTCGGACCCCGGCCGGGCCTGAATG